TTTTGATGCTTTGAGTCACCCCTTTAGTGTGTTCAGAAGCTTATGAAAGATTTTGAAGCATTGGGAGAAAGCTGACCATAAAAACCCAAACGGGCTCCCGGACCAGGTCCTGCAACATGACATGGTTCATGTCCTCATGTTGCACAAATGCAATCTAGCAATTCTCCGCTCTAACTGTGTCTCAGATATTATGATAGGACATTTGGAGCACTCTATATGAAACATTCACATAAATCTTTGATTGCTGAAAGAGTTTGGCACTTAAAAAAGTACATGAAATCTTCAAAGAATACATACCCACCAAATGTTTCTTGCAGTTACAATACATATAGAGCACACTCGTCTAATTACTATACTTAAAATGACAGAACATCTATCTTTGAGTTATTGGAGCTAAAGCCTCTTTCGATTGGGATCAAGTTTAGAGAGCCAGAACTGTTGTTGGAGTGATACCATCTCTTCCTTTTCCTAAGCTGTTGTTCTGTTTCCATCAAAGATGCCTCGTCTAAAAGTGGAATTATAAAGCTCAAGGAGAAAAGGAATCTGCAACAGTCCAAAGATAATGATTGGGGCACTAGCAGACAAAGTTACTGGTATGATTATCCATAATCGACCTTGTAGCATAATGAAAAGAGCAACACAAAATGCTACCATCATTGCTGCAATAGAGATGAAGAGTAAAGAAATGCCAAAAATCAACTTCACGGGTAAGGATTTAAGGAAATCTTTATCAGCATAACGTGAAGTAAGAATCCCCAAAAACATTAGCACCGAACTAGATGCAGCAAAAAGAGAAATTGCATCTGATGCTACAAATACGATAAACGGCACGGTTGGAGATGATACTGTAGAAGAGTCTGCTGTTTTGTTCAAAAATATTGGGAAGCCTGTATTTTGATCATTCCCACCTGGAACAGTAAAAGCCACAGCAAACATAATTGTAATGATTAGAGCACCTACGACTGTAGAAGATTCTGCTGTTTTCTTCATCCATTCTTCCGCTTCTTCTAGCAACTGCTTGTGTTCCTTAGAAAACACTTCAGAAGGAGTTTTATAATCATCATTTACTTGTTGTTTTAACAACTCTGGAACAATGCCTTCCACTGCCTACATTTGTTTCAAAATATTATAGATGTTAAGTGAGAAACTAATTAATTATTAATTAGTACAGAATTTATGGAGCTACATGATCTAAGATTAAAATGTGACATCATATAAATAATTTGAAAGCACATGGTTAACAAATGATATATTTTTTTCCTCTGCAAACAAGATATATATGTTTTAAGGATGAGAATTGTATTTTCATGAAAATAATTTGATGTTCAATTCCTAGTATTAAGGAAATAAAAGAAGAAATTATATAATAAGATATCTCATTGGCTTAATTGGAAAATATATAAAATTATGAGAGGCCTACCTTGAACCAGCGCAGCTCACTTTGGAACTGCAAAGCTGCACCGGAGATGCAGTTAAGGTGAGAACGAGGAGCTAACTTCGCTGCTAAATGTAATAATTTGTTTCCATGTCGAGCAGTGGTAAAAACTTTATTTTTATCAATTCCTGCACTAAATCCATAAAGAAATCGTGCCACTTCCTCTTGGCGATTTGCTATAGCACATTCATACAAGTTCGTTCCTTCATTATCAGTACAGTTCCATAATATATTTGTATTAACTTTTGTAATTTCAATTACAATCTCAGGGATGCCATTCTTGATAGCTTGAAAGGCTGCTTCTACTGCTCCACTTTGCAAAAATTGTTCCTCATTCAAACTTGATAATCGCCGACATATAAATTGTATAACCGCATGAGCATTTTCATCCATCAACTTTAATTCATATATTTGCTTCGCTGTTGGGAAAAAAAAAAGGCTTCATTTTTACTACTAAGAATCCAGAACAAAAACTAATTAGGAAAAGAAAAAAGGAAGAAAAAAGACTCATTGAGTGGACATTATTGCTTACCAAGGAATTCAGGAAGAATTGAAACCAGTGGCCTAGCTGCCAAGATACTCTATTTTTTAGCCAACTATATTAAAAGAGATATTATGTTAAAAATTAAAGAGATAAAGATAAGTGATACTGACAATTATACGCCCATCGTCTCCATAATGCTAGCTGATTTCCTCTAAAGAATGGGGGTGGTGTTTGAGCAAGAGTTTGAACGATCGGAAAGGAAGCACCACCACCATCCTTAAAGAATCCATATATTGCAAACTTTGGAAAGTGGCGGAGGAGTTGGATTGCAATATCTGATATATATCAAATTAAGTTAGTTAGAGAAAAATGAAATAACAAAATTATAGAAAGACAAGATGAATGTTAGAGCTCTTACCAAACATTTTCTTAGTTATACACTCTTCAAGGAGGTCGAAACCATAGCCTCCATCTAGAAATTCTAGCGGGGTATTACAGTAGAGGTAGCGAGTCATGTCCTCAATGCCTGCTCTGCAAGCCAATTGAACTGGGATCGTTTTGTTGGCATCTGGGATAGTAAGTAAGTCCCTGTTCTTTTCAATCAAGCATTTAGCAATTTCCATCATTCCACCACGAGCAGCAAAGGAAAGGGCTGTGTAGCCACTCTTATCTTGTATCTTCAAGTGGTGTGAGTTTGCCATACGAGTACTAGTGATCAATTCCTTCGCAATCCTTAGCTGACCAGCAGTAATTGCAACGTGAAGAGCAGTTTCCCCATTTTCAAATTTTGTAGATATTGCATCAGGATTATTTTGAAAGTAGCCTCTTACTTTCCGAAGGTTCCCTTTGTAAATAGCGTTAAGCATGTCAAATTGCTTCCTTTCAAGATTCTTTTGCTCTGTCAAGCCAATAATGGTCGTAATAAGGCAATAGCGTTGTGTAAGCTGTAAACTAGTTCCAGGTGTTTGTATCGGGAAGGAGAGTGAGTAGTTTGTTAAAAGGGTGTACAGGAAATTACAGGGCGTGAGTCATGAAAATTAGGTAAACGTGAGTATTTGTATCCTACTCTACATCCATTAAAGTTAGTTGTTTACTTTAACTTTTACGCTTTATTTTAGGTATTGATATTTTTTTAGGAAAATTTGATAATTATAATATTATAGACCATAAGTGTATAATATGATGTATAGTTATATAATTAGTTCATTTTAAAAGATTCACTCATTATATTATATATATCGACTATTTAATATTGCATCATACTCATTTAAGACCACCTCATGATTGTAAACTTATAATTTTATATGACCTTATAATTCTATATGACATTATAATTATAGTATCATTGGTACTTTTATGGGGTCATTTAGTATAATGGTTTGAAAGTAATAATTAACAGTTTCATTTTACCTAATAATTGATAATTGTTATTATTAATAATTAAACACTCTTAATTGTTAATTTCAAACCGTTATATCAAAAACCTCGTATATATTATAATATGAATGATAATTAAATTTTTTTTACACAAATTCTTGTTAAATAATTTCAATTAATAAAAAAATTTTAATTGTTATTTAGATATTGATTTTGTTAGTATTTATTTACCTTACTTTCAAAGATTAAGAAGAAAATCACTTTAAGATTATGTCATTTAAATAAAACACCACAAAAAAGGGAAAATAAAAACATTTTGATTTATGTTTTAAAAATAAGATATTTTATTTTTTTCTATGAGAACTTATTAAAATGATATAGTTTTCAAATAATTTTTTTTAATATATAGGAAGTAAGGCAAAAAAGTAATAACTATATATATATATATATATATTACTTTGTATGTTGATTTTTATAATTGTAACTCTAATTTGTATAGTAATTACAAACATATTAAAGAAAGATCAAGTTAAGTCCTATAATAAGAAAGTGAGAATAAAATTAATAAAAAATTAAATCTTATTAATATTGGATTGTAATATTTAATATATGTTAAATTTCAATTATTTTTTAATAAGTTTTTTTTTAAAAGCTTATTGCTGGGTATTTTTTAAAATATCTATTGGGTATTTATTGAAAATGTTTTTAAAATCCAATGGGTAATTATTTAAGTATTCTAAGAAAAGTTTTATTATTGCAATAATTTTTATATTATTGTTAAGACATTTTTTTGGTTGTGTAACTTTTGAAGAGTTTTTATTGATTCCACGAATGAGAGATGAGAATCTCTCTAAAAACAATTTTTTATAGATTAAATAAATAATATAAATTTTCATGATGTAACCCTCCTATTGTAAATGCTTTAAGAAACGTGGAAAAATACTGTAGCAAATTCAAACAGAGAGGTAGAATGGTACCAATCTCATCTCCAGTTCTCAATCTGTTTTGGAGGCCCAACGGCTCTGTTCTCATAAGAATATTGTTTAATCTAGCAGCTATATCCTTCAGCTTGGAAGTCATCCCTTTATTTCGGCCATGGATAAATCTTGAAACCTTGTTAAACAAATAAAGGATGAGTTTCCATGTCTTGTTCGCACAGGATTGGACTTCTGCAGTTAGCCCGGATAAACTGGCATCCATTATCTCATCTAATATATCCTCCATATCATTAAGCACTTCCACCATATCGGTAACCCATAACTTCACCAAGAAATCGTGTTCTACTCGATTCTTAGCATCTTCAAGTAAAGCTCTCGTTTTAAACAAAAAATCCCACCACATAATTAGCTCTTTCCGAATTTGCTCTGTTGAATTCTGCAATCCACATAAAGAAGTTTCCAACGCTGAGAGCAATAACTCGAACTTATCTGACAAGGTATCTGCAAAAAAAAAAAAAAAAAAAAAGAGTAAAAATGAAAATCGAAAAAAGAGTGACTGATCATTTAATTCCTGATTTGGCATGTGGCAGCAGCTCATCTGCGGACTATATGTTAATATGATCCAGCACACTAGAATGTATTATCATTTCTACTTCAAAAGGGGAATACGTGGTTCTCTCTCAAAATGTGTTACTCATGGTCATGGGCTTAAAAACCCCTAGCCACCTTAAGTTTTATTGTACAAACAATCATTAACCACTTGATAAGTATAATAGATGTATGAAAATATTTTTATTTATTTGACATATATGTAATTGTAATAAATATTTAGTTAATGATAATTTATACTAAGTAATAAAATAAAATTGATTTAGAACTGATATATCAATTTTTTTAAATATTTAGTTTTGCTTTTTAAAATATATTAAGTAATATTTTATAATAGAAGTTGTGTTTATAATTGAAATTTAATTATGCATAAATTTTAACTAGATTTTCTACATTTAATGCCCTTAAAATTTTAGTTTTTATATATTTAAGTTTTAATTAATCTTATTAACAAGTTAAAAAATTTGTTTTAGCGTTTGCATTTCTAATAACACTTCACCCTTAAAATTAATTTCTGGCTTTGTCGCTGTTAGCTATAACTTTTCTTTTCAACAAGTCAAAGCTGAAAGTGATGGAGATATTGCAATTAAAAAAGGTAGAAAATACAAGGGTGCGTTTGGTTGGTGGAAAATAGCTACACGTTGGAAGATATTTTTTTATAAAAATTATTTTTAAAAAAATTATTTTCTGTTATTTGAAATATTCTATAAATTTTTTAATTGAAAATAACTTTTCCTGTTTGGTTAGCAAAACGAAAATGTTAAAATTTCCCAAAATTGTGGGGCAATGAAAATTGAATTGTTTGTCTAGGGTACAAGATAAACAATAATTATTAAGTAATAATTGTGTCTTTTTTTAAAAAAAAAAGTTGAATTTTAAATTGATATATGGAGTTTGAATTTTTAATTTAAAATAAATTAATTAAAAATTAATGTTACTTGACATTTATAATTAAAATAAAAATAAATTTCTCTATTTTACTGCAACAAAAAAAGTACTCGTAATATACTACTAACTACTAAATATTACTCAATAACTATTGCCTAGGGGACCGGAGAATAAATAAACTGTGGATTAAATCAAACCTAGTTGCACGGTCGGGGATTTCTGCATATTGGAGAACGCATACCAACCATCCCCCGAATCACCTTCCATGTTAGGCTATTTCATAACCGTGCTGGGAGAAACTATTTCCATCTTAGGCTGTTTCACCATACACAAAACAAATTAAAAAACTTCAAATTCAAATTCAAAAAAAAAAAAAAGCCTTCAACATGTCTCTCCACAGTCCGTCACCTGAGTGGGGTTTTTCCATATTTCTTCTGTTTGTTCCAGGGTTGGTGGGGCGTATTGCTCAGGCAACGCAACGGTTCTATTCTTGAGAGAATCTGCGTGGGGAATGGTAGAGAGAAGAATTTGCTGAGTAACAGTGGTGGCGATAACAATGGGTTGATGGATTGGAGGGGCTCGTGAAAACTGTTGAAGTTGTGATATCAAAGTTGCAGCAGTGGGCAGCAAAAGCAAATGAGAGCCACACTGACAGCGTAGGAACAGCAAAATGGACTGCAAGAAATGGTAGCAAACTTCTACGTCATAGTTAATGTGTTAGGTGGGTGTTATTGGGTTAGGTAGGAATTATTATGAATGGGTTAAAGTCAATTATAGTTCTTGTACTGTGCATTTTCGTTCATTGTCATCCTTGTACACCAATTTAATTTATTGTCGTCCCTCTACTCTTCAAAAGTATGTAGTTGTCGTCCCTTTACTTCGGAAAAGCAGTATGTTGTCTTCCTTCACCGTTACCAACATTAGAGTAACGTCGGTCATTCGACAGTTAAGTGTGAAATTTTTTATTAAAATAATCATTTTTAATTTCAATTTTAAAATAAAAAAAATGAATTTTTAGTGGGAGGGGCCAATGTTCAGGCCGCCCGAATTTCCATTCCCTCTGCTTTCTCCTCTTGTTCCCTCGTGCAGCCTAATCCTCACATACGCAAAACCTTTTACGTAGCAAATGTTATGCCTTTTTTTGGCACGCTTTTTTATGCCATGTATGCAATTTAAGCATATTCAATCAGCAAGAGACCTTAATTATTATTAATTAAAGAATTTTTTAATTGCGTATTTATGACATATATTAATGATATAATTAATATATTTTTTAGTTATTAAATCATATAAAAATAAAAAAATTAATATTAATTTCAATATTAATATTACATGTATTAATTTAATTAATTAATTGTTAAAATTAAAGTAATTTTATTTTTTATATAACTTAATGGTTAAAAAGTATATTACTTATACTTGTATACATTATGATTTCATTTAGTACAATGAAGAACTCAAAAAAAAAAAAAAAAAAGAGAGCAAAGGATTGGGTATCTTAGTGTAAAGAAAAAAATTCTATTTATTAAGGTTTTGAGTTGAAATGTGAAAATATTAATTTGCAGAACTACAGTGATGCTTGGAAGAAAACATATGTTATAATCTGGAAAAGATCATTGTGATGGATGAGGATGGTTTAGGAGCCAAATCCAGAATATTAAAGTGTAAAGGAAAGGTTGTTTTTGTTGTAATTTGGTTTTACTGTTTAACTGATAAAAACTGCAGAACTCTTTCATGTGCATGAGTAGTGTCTAAATAGTAAATATAATCAAATATCTACTATTGTAATTAATGGATGCAACCTTGGGTGAGATGGGTTAAAAGAATGAGTAAAAATTATTTTTATTGTAGGTTAAAATTTTATTTTAATTCTTTAATTTAATAAAATGCCTCTTTTTAGTCTTTTTACTAAAAAAAAAAATTCTCTTTTTAATTTTAAGTTTATTATTTAATTTTTTAGTTTTCCTATTATCTTTTTTCACAAATGACATATTAGATAATTAAAATTTCAGAATATAAGGACTAAAAAAGATTTTTTTTAACGTCCATTTTTTGTTTCTTTACTTTGTAATTTTTTTCATTTAATACATCACATGTGTAAAAAATAAAAAAGAGATTAAAAAAGGTTAGATATTAAATTTGAAAGACTAAAAATGAGTTTTTTTTTTAAGTAGAAAGATTAAACAAATTTTTTTAAAATGAGATTTTCATCTTTATAATACAACATAAAAATAAAAAAATAAAAAAACAAAAATATGCAACCTTTGTTCTCTGCAGGCAACGATAATCAGTCTTATTCTTTTTTCCTTGCCATTGATTTCTTCTATCTTTTTTGAGCTCAAACTGTCTAGAAGTTTGAATCTTTTTTATTAAAAGTTTTTTAATATGTACAATAAGTTAAAAGTGTAATTAATATAATTTTTAATTATTAAATTATATAAAAAAGTTTAGTTTAATTTTAATAACTAACTAATTAAATAATACACATAACATTAGTACTAAAATTATCATCAATTTTTTATTTTCTCTATGATTTAATGAGTAAAAAATATATTAATTATATTTTGAACATATACTATAAAACATAAATTTTAAAAATCTTTAATTAACAATAAAAATCTTTTGAACGAAAGAAAATTTTAAGAAAAAGAGAAATATTATAATTGTCTTTATATAAAAACTTCAACTTTAATACAAAACAAAGTATTTGATGCACGTTCTCAATTCACCTAGAGCTGATAGTGCAATAATAATAATCTTTAATTAATAATAAGGTCTTTTGTTGGTTGAATATGCTTAAACTGGATATGTGGCATAAAAAAGTGAAAAAAAAAATGAAAAATGAAAAAAAGGAGAATAACATTTTGCTGTGTAGAGAAAAACTGATTTTACAGATTTGAGGATTTGCTGCACGAGAGAACAAGGGGAGAAGGTAGACGGAATAGTTATTAGGGTTGATGTGACATGAGCATGGGTCCCTCCCATTAAAAATTGGAATTGAAAATGTGTTATTTTAATAAAAAGGTTCACAGTAAACTGTCAAATGACCGCCGTTACACTATTGTTTGTAACGGTGTCAATCGAAGGACGACACTATAATGCTTTTCCAAAGCAGAGGGATGACAACAGTAAAGGGACGACAATGAACTATTCTGGTGTACAGGGATGATAATGAACAAAAATAAATAGTATAGGGACTAATAAGATCTCTGCTATATAATGACAGAAGATAATGAATGAAGAAATTGAGTTGCACCTCACCAAAAGAGAGAACTTCATCAATGAAGAAAAAGGGGTTTTTCACCGCCTTAAAAAATGGAACTCCGGGTGTCTCTATTTGTCCTATAAGTCTCTTCTTACACTCTTTTCTCCTTAAAAACAAAAACCCCAACAAAAACAAATGAAGTCTAGGAGAACAATTACCATTACAATTGTAAACCTGGTGGATGTGGTTCATTGATTGAGAGTATTTGGTAAAAATTAATAAGCACTTGTTTTAAACAATAATTTTTTTTACAAATTTAAGATTTTATTGAAAAGAAATTCAAAAATTAGTTTTTAAAATAATTTTTAAACAAGTTTTGAGAAATATTTAGATGTGTAATTTTTTTTTAAAATTTACTTAAAAATCACTTTAAAAGCTAAATTTAATTTTTTTTTCTTTAATAAATATTTAAATTTGTGAGAGAAGCATTTTTTAAAAGTAAATACTATTTAAACTTTACAAAATACCTTCGTAATATTAATGGCTTAAATGTTAAATAAGATCCCAAACTTCCACTAAATCCATAAGGTCGAAACCTTCAATTAGGTTCTTCAACTATTATATGGACCCTAAGTTAATCCCTAAATTAAAAAAATTTGTGATTTGATCCATAAAGTTTCTAAATTTAGCCTCAAATTGATCTTTTTGTACAAAAATAACTGACATATCTTTGTTATTAGCATGATAATTGGCTATTAAATAATGATTTTCTGCTATTAAGGAATGAATAAATTAACTATTTTTTAACAAAAATATCAACTTAAGGTTAAATTTAGAAATTTTAGAAACCAAATCAAGGACTTTTTAGTTTGGTAACCAACTTAATGTTTATACAATAATTGAGAGACCAAATTGAGAATTTACCCAATCCATAACTAAGATTTCAAAATTCTATTGTGCTCAAATAAGGTAATTAAGTCATTGAAATTCTCGAAGTAGTTCCAATTGGGCCGAAGCCATTAGGTTTTCATTAATACTACTAACTCTAATTGGTTAAATAACTAAACTTATCCCTCTCTTTTTTATTTTATCTTTCAATAACTTCAAAATGTTCTTTAAACTTATTTTTTAGGACCGATGACTAATTAATTAAAAATTAAATTTTTAACTGTATTAAATTACTAATTCATTTGTAAATGATTTTATTAAACATTAATTAATTATTCTGTGAAATTTTAACTTTTATTTTATTAATTAAATAACTTAATCTTTTTTTTTTATTTATTTCAAAAATGACGATGAATTTGTGAACCTGATAATACCCTTATCTTCTTTCTCCATCCTCCCTTTCTTTTTCCATTTTTCCCTCTTTTATTTAATTAATTGAGATATTTTGTTTGTTATAGTTTCAAAAATAATAATCTAATTTTTTATAATAAGCCATATAAATATCACATAAAATTAAAATTAAAAATTAATTTTGAGTACTATAAAAATTTAATTTTTGAAAAATAATTTAGAAACATTTTTGTACCATATTTTTGTATAATATTATGTGTCATTTAAATTATTAACCTTTTTTTATTTATTTTAGAGCTGTAACATTAAATACATCTATTAATTTAATAACATATAAAAATTATATAAAAAAATTATGTAAACAAATTGTATCTATATCATTGTCCTTAATTTTTAGTTGTGAGTCCTACAAAATAAATAAACTTAGGTAGTATTAAG